ATGAGCAAGTCCCACATAATAATAATAATCATAATCCTTACATTTGATATAGCGCCTCATCACATCTTCGAGACATCTCATTTATTATTATATCATAATCACATCAGAATTATTATTACATCAAATATCAGGATTACTTGTGTAAGTGTGTGTGTGTGGGGGTGGTGGTGGGTGGGGGCAGGAGGAATTCTGCTATCTGTCTCCTAAAGATGCGAGTAGATTGCATACTAATGAATAGTTTCTTGCATTTTTACTTTTGTAATTTATTCTGATATTTTTCTATAATTTGCTCCTACTCACTCCTACCATCTGTTTCATGTTGTAACAACTAAATCTCTGCCTGGACGAGCTGAAGAACTGGGGTCATCTAGCACAAAGATCCGTACTTTTGCAGTCAGCTCTGTGATTTGGAGTCTGGATCCTTTGAAAATCCAATTTCCTGAAGCCCAGTAGATTTGAAAGCACTCTCATATATTCAACGTCATATTTCTTCTGATCACTCACCTTCCTTTACATCGTGTACTTAGCGGATAGCTCTTATCTCTATATTCTGCTCTATCTCCCGCAAAAGCAAGGAGGAATTTGTTTGCCTATAATACGACAGTATTAGTTGTGCTTGATCAGTAGTCATCGTCAGCTCGAGGTTCAGGGCAGAATTTGACGTCAGCTTTATTTGTGTGGGGACGGGTTAGACTCATTTCGAAGCTGTATGTGGAGTCCTGTAGCTCAGTGGTTAGAGCACTCGCCTCGCAGGGCGCAACATTGGGCAGGTTTCCTTACTCTACTGTTTACCTAGCAGTAAGTAGGAACCCGGTTGGTTAGTCGATTGGTCTCTTTTCCGGGGGTAATAATCCCTTAAAAAAATAATAATTTGGTCACTCAATCCACGACTGTTTGTGGGACACTACTTGTGCAATTGGCTTCAGCATTTTGCCCTCAAAACATGCAGCCAATTCACTTGACAGTATATTCTGTGAAATGCTTTGAGATGTATAGAAGATGTGATGATAAGGTGCTATATCAAATGCAAGGATTATTAATATCTAGGTTCTCAGATAAATGACCTATGTACTTCAGGGGGAAGGGGGGAAGGAGTTAACCGCCTTAGTGGATCCGGAGGAGGGAGATACGAAAAAATAAAGGGAGAGGAGACAACTGTAAATTTTTCCGTAAGACTAAATGTTACTGTTGCATTTTTTTTTCTGGTGTTGAGGAATTGTACTGATGACGGCAAACTGTGATTCCATCTGTTTGTCCTGGAGTTTGGACAGCTGTATGATTACAACATCAAGGACACTCTTTTAAGTGGCCAACAAAATAGCCCATTACTGGGTGTGAGGGGGTCTTGCGAGATGAATAGTAGAATGTTATTTGTTCATTGGCATTACTTTCTGCCAGCGAGACATATTAATGCTCCTCATAGAGAGCGGGCTGAAAGAACCTCAGTGTTTATAAGAGAATATAATAATTTAAGCCTGAATAAGCTTCAAAGGTCCAATGTGACTATTTGGCCAGCAGAAATGAGATGTAAATGTGGTCTGAATAGCCACTGATTACAGATAGATGATTAAAACGGGACTGGAATTGATTTATGGATGCAGTTGCTGAGGCTAAGCCGTGAATGTAATATTATCAGCGTGAAATGCTTTGGACAGATTAGTGTCTGGGGAGTTGGGGTAAAAGGGCCATTCAACCACGTGCTGTACAGTTAGAGTCCGAAGGCTTTCAGTTACCATGTCATTTTAGACATACAAGTGTGGCATTCTAGAGGGACTGACCTGCGGGTGGGAAAGTAGATTTCTGTGACACATCGGTGAAGAACGAGGTTATTCCATTTAATCAGTCCAACCTCACGCCTATGCCATTCGTTTAGAACAGATTACAAGCAGTATGTTAGTTTATCTCCTCACCTCTGTGACTGAGGCTGGATGAACCCAAGGCCTTTAAGGGGCTGTGGCCCGGGGCTCTGGATGTTGAGGGCTCCCAAAACATAGCACTGGCTGGGCTGGCGGAGGTCAGAGGAAGCACCGGGCAGGTTCGCTCTCCTTCTGACCACTGGAGAGAGCCAGATTTCCCCAGAGGTCAGAGGGCTTTTGCAAGTATGCGTGTGTCTCTGTGTGTGTGTGTGTGTGTTTCTTTCTTCCTGGGTGTCTGTGTGAGCAGCCATGGGCCAGGAGAGACAGGAGGCGGTGATCTCCAGGTCTTCAAATGTAGGGCGAGGTGGAAACGGACCATTCAGGCCTGCGCTGGTGTATTCCCTCCCACCCCAATAGTGGGCTGTCCAGTTTTTGCGAAAGAGAGCTTCAATAGATTCCGTGCGTCGTCTACAATGTGTTATTTCTCATTATTTCATTTTCCATCAATAAAATGGAGGTTAGCAGTAAATCGCGCCACTGAACAGCAGCAATCAACTCCCCATAATTTACCGCAAAATTTCCCAGCCATTTTTGGTCGATATTTCTGCAGTTTTCTATTGGCCCTGGCGACAGGGAGCAAAGAGCGTGCGTCGCATGAGAGGGAGAGAAGAGGCAGCAGATGAGGAGTCTGCTTTGCCTCTACCCTCCCGAGCCCCCATCTTAAAGCAAGCTTAAATACTGTCCTGCCTGTCAGATGTAATTTCACATCCTGAAGTGCTGCAGTCTATCGATGAATTACTTTGTGTGATTGATGTTATCCTCCCACCCCCCCCCCACCCACCTTTCACCTCATTGCAATGAAATTAACACCATTAGGAAGGCAACCTTAACCTGTTTTCTATGACTACAGAATACTCTCCCCCTCCTTCCCTGATGTGTTCTGTGAAAGATAATTAAAACTGAATATCCTTTTATGTACATGCATATTTTGCCAATTGTGCATGCCGTACCCTCACTTTTTTTTGCTCTCTCTCTCTCTCTCTCTCTCTCGCTCCCCTATATACTTTTTATTTCGCTTACTCACTGTTGCCAGTTCCTTAGGGCAACCCCATTATATCGCAATGTTTTGGGGCCATAAAATTGCACACTGTGTTACAATGGGTCTGCAAAGGGGGAGGGGGGAGAAATAGGCTGCCAGCCCCACTTCTGGATTGTCAGATCGCTGCTGATTTTGCTTCCTGCGCGGAATGATTAGCTTCCTGTGCAAGCGCGCAGGAAATCAGAAGTGTTCCCCATCTCAGGTTACAGTGGGTCCACACTCCACCCCATTTATAAGTGGATTCATGCTCTAGAGAGGTGTATTATAATGGGGATCTCCTGTGTGTGTGTGTGTGTGTGTGTGTGGTGCGTGTGTGTGTGTGCGCGAGCATATGCGTTGTTTGTTCCATTCACCCCGTTCACTTGTACAGCTTTGTGAATTTATTTAGCAGCCTTCCTTTGCGAAGGGTAAGGTATAAATTCAAGATTCAAGTTGTTGTTAATGTTCGCCCACAGAATATACAGTATATTCTGTGAAGTGCTTTGAGACGTCTCGAATACGTGATAAGGCGCTGTATCAAATGCAAGGATTATTATTATTATTATTATACCAATGCTGTCCACCCCAAATTGACAAGTGGCCACTGAGAGACAGAAATGGCCACTATAATAAAAAAAAGGACTTGGCATAGATACAATACATATCATCATATCGTACAAATGCACCTATACATATAATGTTTTGTACATCTTTAGGCACTACATATGCTCTTTTAGCAACTGCAAATTAGCAACAGTAAGTTAATACTTTCATCAAACCACTGAAATTTTGATTCCGTACTATATGTCGATGTACATAACGGCACACAATATAAGCTGAGACTCAAGTCACACCACAGGAAAGGACACGGGATATTACTTCACACGACATGACTAACTGCGATACCAGCGATTGACTGCCAATACATGAGGGAAAGATACCGTCATGTCTCGTAGTTGTCGCTCACCCAGACGGACACTGGACGCCAGACAAAAGGAGGGTGAGGCGGGAAGCTATGCAGATCACGTGGACTGTTCAACGCAGGGTTCACGCTCGCTAGGAGAGTTAGGCTGGCGGGAGTTCACATGCGGGCCCCAGAAAATTATTTAAAGTTTTTTCGGTTTGGTTACTCGGAGCCCGGTAAGCCTGGGGGTGTTACTGCACTCAACTCTGAGTCAGAAGTTTGTGGGTTTAAGCCCCACTTCGGGTCTTCAAACTCATAGTCTCGGCTGGGAATGTGCTGCATTGTCGGAGGTGTCGTCCTTCTGATGAGGTGTTAAACCCGTCTACTGGTTCGGGTGGACGTTAAAGACCCCCATGGCACTATTCAAAAAACGAAGGGAGTTTCTCCTGGTGTCTCGGGCAACAATCCTCCAGATAAAATTGGACAATCACTTCCTGGCTGTTTGTGGGACAATTGCTGGACGCAAATTGGCTGCCGCATTCAACCTACAAATGCAGTCTCTAAACTTTACAGTGAATCCTGTGAAGTGTTTTGAGATGTTCAGTTAGTTGATCAAGTCAATAATATTATTATTACAAGTTGAATGTTGTGACTATAGTATTGTACTGCAAAACATGCCTCTTACATGTGTGTGGAGTCCTGTAGCTCAGTGGTTAGAACACTCGCCTCGCAAGCGAGAGGATCTTTATTCGATTCCCGAGCAGGGCAAAACCTTAGGCTTTTGATTACCTAGGAGTAAGTAGGAACACGGTTGTTAGTTAATTGGCAGATCACTTTTCCGGGGGTAATAATCCCTTAAATAAGTAATAATAATAATAATAATTATGAGACGCTGCTGTGCGCAATTGGCTGCTGTGTTTCGCCCACAAAATATACCGTCAATTCACTTTACAGTATATTCTGTGAAGCTCTTTGAGACGTCTCAAAGAAGTGATAAGGCGCTACATCAACTGCAAGGATTATTATTGCATGGGAGATCACATCACCATTATGCCACAACAAGGCCTAAAATATGGACAGATTATAATGAATCACATTTACTAATAAATGACCAGTTCTAATGCATTATATTTAACAATTTTCTTGTGTTTACATCCTACAGTGGGAAGAAATTAGCGAAGTGGATGAGAATTATACGCCTATACACACGTACCAAGTGTGCAACGTAATGGAGCAAAATCAGAATAACTGGCTGCAGACTATCTGGATCTCTAACGAAGGGGCCCGCCGTATATTCATCGAGCTAAAGTTTACATTGCGGGACTGCAACAGCCTCCCCGGCGGCCTGGGAACCTGCAAGGAAACATTCAACGTGTATTATTTCGAATCCGACGACGAAGACGGGAGAAACATCAGAGAAAACCAGTACTCGAAAATCGACACGATCGCAGCTGACGAGAGCTTCACGGAGCTCGACCTTGGAGACCGTGTCATGAAGCTGAACACAGAAGTGCGAGACGTGGGCCCGCTGTCTAAAAAGGGCTTCTATCTGGCCTTTCAAGATGTGGGCGCCTGCATTGCCCTGGTCTCTGTGCGCGTGTACTATAAGAAGTGCCAGTCCATACTGCACAGCCTTGCTCTCTTCCAAGACACAATCACGGGGGCCGATTCCTCCTCCCTGGTAGAAGTGCCAGGCACGTGCGTCAACAACTCAGCGAAAGACGACACTCCGAAAATGTACTGCAGCGCGGATGGGGAGTGGCTGGTTCCCATTGGAAGGTGCATATGCAAGGAAGGCTACGAAGAGCAAAAGAACGTGTGTCAAGGTAAGAGGAATTGTTCACGAAGGGCATACTGCTGAAACAGGGTGTTATATACCAGTGCAAACAAACATTTAGTGCAAAAAGTGGGGTAAACAATTGATAACACTTTTTGGGGTTTCAGGTTCCACTCGTTAATGGTCCCGGATGTCGTCCCTTTTCGTATTTTTCTCTGGGGGGAGAGGTGGGGAAATTAACAGATTCCAATCAGTCTGACGGGTCAATGGAAAATAGGTGTTGGGTTTGCTGGGAGTAGCACAATTGTGCCCAGCGTTGGGGATGTTTTGAGTGTTTGCTTAGCTCTCTGGAAACCTTTCGTGGCAGAACTGCAACAGTGCAAGACCGAGCAAACCTGTGCACTTTCATCTCAGGAGCTGGAAAATGTTTGGTGCTTTTTAGTTCTTGGACGCAGAGTACAATGATTTATTTTGAAGAGAACTTCGTAACTGACTGATTGACTGCAGTAGTAACAATGACTGAGTTTGTATAATACATAAGGAATATTCGCTCTTTTTTGGGGGGACTGGGGGAAGACTGACGGAAGTTAAACTACATGGAAAAGGTTCACACATTGGCGTTTAACTTCCTGTATTCTCTGCCTGCTCCTTGAAACAGAAAGACATGTTGAATAATTGGGTTATTTAGTATATTGAAATGAATGGCTGATACCGTCTAACTGTGTTTGAATACATATCAGCCCTTTGCATCAGCAATTGTGTGGCTATTGTACCAGATCTCCATTTAACAAGGCTGGTATGAAGCACAAGATCTCCAGTTATTAACCTTTGACTTCCACCAGGCTTAGGTTTATCATCAAAAACAGACAGAACAGCGATCAGGGTGTTGATGGCAAAGGGTAAGCTGGTTTAAAATGTATCTTCTTAAAACAGAGAGATACGCGTGAGTCTACCAAGCGGAATACTGTGTCTCTGGACATGTTTATTCATTGGAAATTAAATGTCTGCTTGTGGACAGACTGTATAGAACCAAATAATGTGCGTTAACTGCCATTGAATTATTTAAAACTTGGTCACTGTATATTTATTGCGCATGTTAGAGGGTTATAGCATTATCAAGACATTAGAATGCTAGTGATCTGTTGATGTCTGGATACTGTCTGAATATTCTATATTCAAACATTTTTTTTGGACCAGCATGTGTATTATTGCTCTCACATCTCCCTACTATCAGACAACCATACATTTGGTACAGGAGGGCAATTATCTGCTGTGTTTTCCCACAAAATATACAGTCAATTTACTCAATAGTATATCCTGTGAAGCGCTTTGAGACATCTCAATGACGTGATGAGGCGCTTTATCAAATATAAGGATTATAATAAGTATTATCTAATTGTTTTAAACAATATTATTTATAATCTTTGTGGAAACCCCAAAGTGTGTATTTTAAGTTTAAAAACCTCTTTGCGAGGGGCTCATTTGTGCAAAATCATTTCTTTAAAACAAAGTAGCAGAATGTTCATTTATTTTTGTAAAATTATTATTATTAATAATAATAATCCTTGCATTTGATATAGTGCCTTTTCACAGCACCTTGGGGCGTCCACCCAACGTGAAAAACGCTACACAAATGTACTTTTCTTTGATCTAGTGCCTGATCACGTCTTTGAGATGTCCCAAAGCATTTCACAAAATATACAGAAAAATGAATAGACTGTATATTTTGTGGACAAATGCAGCGCAATTTTTAAAGTTAGTCCAACGTTGTTGAAACTGTTGCCATAAATAGCTAGAAATTGCGTGCAGATAGAAAACGTTAACAGGCAGGACTGAAGTGTTCAGGCAGTAATAATCAAAATTCTTCTACTGCACCCAATTATATTCATGCACACTATGTGTTTTTCAGCATCTTAAATCCATGGGAACCAGGAACAATTTATTAATTACCATGAAAACTCGTGCCCCTACTGCCTTTGTATTACGTGGTACTCTGCGGTAAACAGGCACGACTATACATCTTGTGTGCAGGACATGTTTCTGTGATATCCTATAATTGCCTCAGTTGAATTGATCCTTTGTACGTTAAAATGCTGTTTTAGCTTTACTGAGCAGTTGGCCACAGTTTGATGCATTGGTTTTAGTGTTAAAATTTGCCGATGCAGCTTTCGGATTTTAAAGGTAGATTTTCTGTAACCTACGGCAACATAACTTGGGGTGTCAAATGCATGCACTGACCACAAATTGAGGGCTGCGCTGCCTCTACTTTGCAAAGCGGCAACAGCAAGAAAAAATCTTTCAAAACGAATTTGCTGCATCCGTGACAAAAGTGCGTGGCAAACCATCATTAATTTTCAAGCCTTTCGAAATCGAACACTAATAAAAACTTACCTTGGTGCCAACGTGGACATTCATCTTACCTTAGCACGTATGGTCGCACTGACTAGATGTAAGGGCAGTGAGGAATGTATTTGCACTTCATATATCTGTGGGGCAGTTTTCCTAATGGTATTATTTACACATGAATGACAATAGGTGGAAAATCAGAGATTTGGAGGTACAAATAATTTCTCCATTTAAGATGGAGGTTGCAATTTTCTGCTCAGTGACTAATCCTGGTTTTCAACTATATTGTTGAAAAGCAATTAAGGCAGTTAATTAATGCTGGAAGCCATTTAAGTCAGGAAATCTATGATTTTCCCTGGCCTCTGTAGTTTAGCAGACATCATTCTGAGTTAATGCACTATTCTGGGTGATTGGTGTAAATTGGGCAAACAGACAAAGCCCAATCCAACCACAAGCTATCTACAAGCCTGGCTCAGTTGGTAGCACTCTCGCCTCTGAGCCAGAAGGTTGTGGGTTCGAGCCCCAAGACAGCGTGTTGCATTGCTCAAGGTGCCGTTGGTCAGGTGTACCAGGAGATTACCTTTTCTTCATTGAAACAGCAAAATAAAGTATCTGATCTGTCAAATCTTTACGTCTTCCACAACATACACAGTCAGTTCACTTTACAGTATATTCTGTGAAGCGCTTTTGAGACATCTCAAAGACGTGATAAGGCGCTATATCAAATGCAAGGATTATTATTATTCAATACCCTCAAGTGCTATAGGCAGGGCAACACCTTGGGCAAGTTTCCTTACTCCACACGCCTAATAATAATCCCTCCAAAACAAAAAAACAATAATAAATTGGTCATTTTCAATCTGTCGCGTTTCGCCCACAAATATACGGTCAATTCACTTTACAGTATATTCTGTGAAGCGCTTTGAGACATCTAGAAGACCTGAAAAGTGCTATATCAAATGCAAGCATCATTATTATTATTATTTTTACTTTATGGGGATGATGAAACGAATCAGAATAGAAGCAATACTTTTCAAGAACTGTACAACAAGAACAGCTTGCACTATGAAGGGGAATGTCTCAGAGCGTTTTACACAGATGGGAATGGATGCTAAGCAGAGGGGGAAGAAGGGGGAGTAGGGAGGTGGCTATTATATGTGTGTTCAAAGTGGTAGATTTTAAAGCTGGATTTAAAGATCGATTGAGAGAGTGGGGGTGTGGGGTGGGTGAGACGGGGTGAGACAGAGGGGTAAAGAGAGTGAGAAGGGAATTATAGGTTTGGATGAGGACCTTGAGGTTGATTCACTGGGAGACAGATCGCCAGTGGAACTTGTGAAGCACTGCGGTAATGACTGTGTGGATTTGGTACGGGTGAGGATGCAGGCGGTGGAATTTTGGATGAGTTGGAGCTAGAGAGACCGATGGGACCAGTGCAAGAAAAAGGAAAGATAATCTTCTCTTCTTTTTAAAAAAAACGCAGTTTACATATGCTTTTTTCTTTACCTTCCTGAAGGTCCTGGGCTGTGATTAGAAAGGTGAGCACGTTACCTGCTCTCAAAGTCTCTGCCAAAGCCACTCTTCAAGCACTTACTGAGGTGCTTGAAAACCTCTGATTTCCCTGGTGTAAAGTACTCCAGTGGCAAGCATGTACATTCCTACACAGTCATTAGCCATTAGTGGACGGTTTGAAGGACAGTAGCGGTTAAGGAAATTTAAATGCAGCTCTTGGAATGCAGAACTGCATCGAGGTTCAGTTACCGCTCTCTCGCGAGCCAAATGAATTAAGTTCTTTGGGTCAACTGAGCAGAATCTTTATTACTGCCGTGCTATTTGCTGCTGCTGTTGCTGAGTCAATGTTATCTAACCGTGTGCAATAAAAACTCTGCAGTTCATTTCCCCATGAAATTCCACCCCATCTCACAGGTGAAACTTTTACTTTCGGATCACTATCGTTCCAGGCAGTGTTTGTTTTGCTGGAGGGTGGTGTTAATATCGTATTGTAGTTCTCTGTCAAGTGGAGCTGATAGAGACACCTGAATGTACCAGTGGCTGAGTGACAAGAGTCCAAGTAACAACCTATTTCCATTTTTCTTGTCATTATTGTGCAGTGTGAACCTTGAACTTCTGCCGGTTTGTAACAATTCACAGGATCAACAACAACAAATTACATTTATATAGTGCCTTTCACATCGGAAGGATGTCCCAAAGGGCTGGACAGTCAAGGCTGGGGCTTGGGGTCAGGAGGGGTGAGGGTAGGAGGGTGACCAAAGGTGCGGTCGAAGAGGACCCGGCAGGGCGAAATGTTGGGCAAGTTTCCTTACACCACACGCTTCTGTTTACCTAGCAGTAAGTAGGAACCTGGTTGTTAGTTGATTGGTGGATCGGTTTTCCGGGGATAATAATTCCTTCAAAAAAAAATCATAATAAATTGGTCACTCAATCCACGACTGTTTGTGGGACACAACTGTGCGCAATTGGCTGCCGCGTTTTGCTCACAAAATGTACAGCAAATATACAATTCACTTTACAGTACATTCTTTGTACATTTACAGTACAAAGACATGATAAGACGCTATATCAAATGATCCTCAACTGTCTTTTCTTCCCCACATCCAAGCCATGACCCGCTCTGCCTTCTCTCACCTCCGTAACATCGCCCGACTCCGCCACTACCTCACCCCTCAGGCCACTGAAACTCTTGTT